TTCTTGAATGAATTTTATTTATTCGTTGAAAAAAAAATTAACACAGTGACTTTGTAAAAAAGGCAGTCCAAACAGATTGTAACACTTGGTACAGTACACTACACTATAAATATAGTACAGTACATTAGTTTTGTTTATTTAGTCGGTTTTATTTTTAAAGATGCAAAGAATAACTTACTACGAATCAGCTAACCGTAAATCAAAATGACACCATACGTATCTTAAATCAATCATTTTAAAATTGAAAGATTACTTTTAGATAATTTGTAGCAAAATCTCAAAGTCTTTTCTAAACTTAATGCAACAAAGTTTAGCGGTTTCCTTACTAAAGTAACAAAAAAATATATATATAAAAACGTAATAAAAATTACTAGAATTAGCGATAACTAGTAAAATTTTCTTATCCAACTGCTAATCTCTCATATAAATTTTTTAATTAGCAATAATCATACGTTTGTATATACAAACACTTTTTTTAATGATTGTGTGTTGATGAATTATTTATTATATATTTTTTTCAAAGTTTAAATGTAAAAGCTCTTATGTATAGATTTTAATGGATAAATAATAAGATAACCATTCTTAAAAACTTTTTATAAGTTTTGTTATACTTTTTTTTTGTTAATAAAATAATGTTACATTATATAAGTAATATTATTACAATTTATTTTCATCTCTAGGTGTTATTACAATAAATACTGTGTTAGAAGCAGAAACCTTATGTTTAAATTTTATACCTGTAAAAAAGTTGCGTTCAACCTGTCGAAGTAAAGTTATGAAACCTACATCAAAATGTATGAGTATGATAATTTTAATACTGTTAGTGAAACATCCATTTAAAATAAAAAAGAGGGTGTAAATACACACTTAACAGCTGCTAGAGTATATCCTATTAAGGTCAAAGGATTGCATCAGTCAGTTAAAATTGGAAAAAGTAAACAAAAAATAACAGCATTAAAAACCTTCATTAAAAAAAGTAGCCACTTCCCATAATATATCAGAATAAAGTTTTGAAAAGTCAAGTTTTGGTAGTGAATATTTGGAAAAAGCAAGCTTGTTTACTATCATTATAGTATTGTTAACTTTTATTATCATAACAGTATTGTTAACAAATAGTTGAGTCTACAGCACATTTAAAAAAATACAACGGACAACGCTTGCTCTAACTGATTGGTAAAAAAAAAATGTTTCTGAAACATTACATGTAACAAACTATATAGCTCGCACTCCACGTAAATATTCTAAATTAGGAAAATTTCTTCCTAATAAAACAGTTCAACTGGTCAAGTCTTTTCATGAAGATGATGAATACAGTCGTATAATGCCTGGTAAAAAGAACAATGTAAGCATAAAAAAAAAATCATATGCAGAAAAGTTTGTTCTTATGTAATTTAAAGGGATTGTTTGTTGCTTTCAAAACCATGAACCCTAAAATAAAAATAGTGTTTTCAAGGTTTTGCAGATTGCGATAAAATTGTTGTACAACTATTGATGCTTTAAAAACATACTCAGTATGCGTCTGTGCTATTCTTTTTTTTTTTTTTTTATATATTTAGGTGTTCCCCGAAGTCCTTACGGTCTTATCATAGAACACCGCGGGAGAGCATTTAATTGTAAGTTTACGCCTCCTTCCGTACCAATGTCGCTTGTTGGGATAGAGCTGGCGTCGAATCTCGGACCTCTGGGTTCTGCGCCAGAACTCTAACCACTACGCCGCGGCATTTCAATCATCGGAATTTAAAACTGCTTTTGCATCCTCTTGGTGTGACACAATAAACTGTTTTCTTGGATTGTATGTGAAATGACTAACAAAAACTGAATGATGCGGAAAATGTGAAAGATGTCTAGCAACTATGTATATCTTGGTTGAAAAACTATATAATTTAACTGGAAAATTTAAAGATGACGATGAAGAAGAACTTGATCAATGGACAACAACTGGTAGGTTGAATTTAACGCATAATAAAGAGCCTGTGTCTGAATGCATTGAAATAGTATATAAAAAACCAACAAAACTTGCACCACACTTGTATTTAGCTAAAAAAAGATGATATAAACAAGTTAGTATGAGTTAAATATGTAGTTCAGGATAAACTGCAAAGTTTTCATTGGCCATATTTACAATGTGCACTTCATCCTTCAAATATTTATTTCAAAAAAGAAGTTTTTCTCAATCATAAACCTTATTGTTTTGTTTCAGATGATATGATACTTAATGTAAATATGGTGGATAAAGATAATTATGTTGTCAGCAATGATATTGAAGCAAATCTACCTCAAACCAAAAATATTTAATACTTTTCAGATAGGTGCGCAGCTCAATATAAAAATAGCATAAATATTTTGAATCTTTGTTTCCATCTTGATGATTTTGGTCTTTTTGCTAAATCTTTTTTCAACTACTCACGGTAAGCAACCTCGTTTAGAAACGCTAGCAAGCTGAAAAAAAGAAATGGGTAATCATATTTTATCTCTACAAACAATGCAAAAATATTGCAATAATAACATTGAAAGTGTTATATTCTGGTTATATATAAATTTCATTTATATATCACCAGAAGATTTAAGTTTGGTGAGAAAAACTCTTAAGGTACAATTGGACTCTGCAAATACTATACCTGGAACACGTAGTTACCATTAGTTTGTAACACTTGGCTTTAAAAAGATAAAAAAATATACATTTAATACACTTTTTACTATCTTTTAAAAAAATGCATTTTTTATGCAAATTTATTTGGTAAACTGGAATAGATTTTTTATTTGTGTGAAATTATTGTCAAAAATATTTTATGTTTTATTTTAGGCCTACAATTTTCTTTTAATGCCTTTAATAAAAGTGTTTAATAAAACAATTAAAACGGAACAAATGCATATGTTGCTATTTTATCTAAATAGGCAAACCTATGCAATCTTGATGAAAATTTTGCTCTTATTCACGACTTTAGAAACATTCCTCTAACAACTGTATATACAGTACCGGGTGAATATGCCTGTGTTTCCTAGGACAAAAGTGGTAGATAGGAGTCATTAAAAACGTTGTTTTAAAAGAAGAAGATGTGTTTTTAATTTTTTTCTGAATGGTCTTCCACAGTAGTTTAAAAGGCCATCAGTAGATTGACAATGCAATGGATTCCAGATGTCCACATCATTTGCAAAGTCAAAGTACCGACTACTGGACTTTGCTTCTATTTAGGCAAAGACAAATTGAAATAAAATGTTTTCCTTGGGAAAGAAAATTTTTATATTAAAACTAATTTCAAATTTGCTTAGTCTGATATGTTTTATCTATACTTTTTTTAATCTTTGATTTTTTTGTACAGTTTATAAATAATGTGAATAAAAAGCGTATATAAAATAATTTCAATTAAGTATTTATTTTTCAAATGGTTTTTTTATACCTTATTGTTTTGTTGGAAAAGGTTAATAAAAAAAATAAAGTTACTAAACTATTTATTTCTAATTTAATTAATTTGTAAAAAATTGAAATACATTGCCTGATTTTTAAAATATCTAAGAATTTTGTGTTCACATTAAACCTCAATTACTCCTCAAGTAAACGTAAGGAAAAAAAAGTTTTTGCTTCGTTAAATTATAAATCTAACCATTAACAAAAGAAAAATCTAATTTTTTTCTATTATTCCTTTTTTCTTTAAAGCTATAATTGTCACTTTATTGTCATCTTATGAATCCTAGAGTAAACTACATAGCCTTGCTTCGACAGATACAAATCTAAAGTTTTTGGAGCAGGTTTTAGTCTTAGGACTTTGGTTCGTTTGGTACCAAGTTTCAGAATCGCAGCATAACTAAATGCATCATATAAGTGTAATAATTAATGAAAACATTTTTGGCACTTTTCCCTCCCATTTTTTAGTGAAAAATAAACAAAATTTAAAATGCTGTAAATCCTAAATAGATAAAAATCTTTACTTGAGTTATGTCTCTCAACATTTGTGCCAAATTTCAGAAAATTTGTTGATGTAGAGGTGCAATTTGTTCGTTTTTTTGTGTTTTTTTGAAATATTAAGCTCAGTTAATAAAAATATCTTGACTTTATCAATTTTAATTTAATTTAATAATGAGATTTTAAATATCTTTTATAAGACTTTGGTAGGAATTATATTCCATTGGACAGCCATCACAATGCTGAGGATCCAAATGAGTAGACATGGCTCCCATACAGTGTCCTTAGCCAACTCCCTCTGTTATACCGTGTACTTCTGATATGTCTTATCTATACTTATGTATACAACGTGCATAGGTCCCTTATGGTACCCATACACATTGATTGACTGGGTATGATTTGTTTTAAGATTTTACACCTATAAAAAATTAAGAAAGCCATATATAAACAATGATTGGTTCTGCAGTCAAAACGAACATATTAACATATTTGCACAATAGCCAAATATTAAACAGTTTTTGGAAAATATATAAAATCTTTTTGCACTTGGGGAGTTCTTGATTGGCAGTACATAAAAGTTTTTGTGTAAATGTCTTTTAAACATTTGTCTTAGGATACATTTAAAAGTAATACTTTAAAGTATCTAACAAAGTAAAATATCTAGTAATAGATCCTACATTTTTTTTTAAAAAAAGGTTGACAGTAAGCAATTTTTACTAAAATTAACACCTAAATCAAATTATATATTAAAAAAAAAATATTACCAGTTAACATCAAATAAATTTAAATAGAAAACAAGCAAAAATGAATTCATAAATATTAAACAATTCAATGAATACCATTTTGTTAAAATGATGGCAAACTGTAAATATGATCCTAACATAATATTAAATTTATAACTAAGATAAAAATTATGAGGAAGATAATTTTTTATAAACTAAATAAAACAGTTCCAAAAAACAGATATCTTGATTAATTAAATTTAAAACTTGATTTCTGAATGAAAAATAAGAAACATTAAAAAAAACTCAAAATAAACAAACAGTTTAAATTATAATAATTAATTTTTAAATAAATAAAGATTTAAATAAAGTAAGTTTCATGTCAATTAATGATATAAAAAGTCTTTAACTCTATTTTAAATTGTCAACGAAAAATAATTTTTAAATCAACTTCCAGCCAAAGTATACATTCCTGACAGGATTTTTTGATTAAATCTTCAAGGACCAGGCCAATAACTATTTACGTTTCTAAAAAAAAGGTTTCTGCCATATTATTTTTTTATATTTATGTGAATTATAAAAAAAATTTAACATTATAAATATTTCTAACATATATTACAATATAGAAATATAAAACATAAAAAATATTCAGAAACTGATTACAATATAATGGGGTAGCTATATTTAACTAAAAATGCAATTGCTTAACTATAAATTAAAAATATATATTTTTTTCACTTTTATTTTTGTAATTCAGAAGAAAGGATACATATGTGGAGTACCAACAATATATATCTGCATATTTTTTTAAAAACTAAAATTAAAATTTTTATCCAATAATTTTTGAAAGTCAGTAACATTTATTTAAATGTATATAATACTAAAACGGAAAAATATAAATTTTTTTGTAAGGTAAACTATATTACCAAAAACATTAGAAATTTGCCATTTTATAAAGTGGATCATTAATATGAAATGTCGGGGAAACAAATATCAAATTTGTATACAATGCAAAATATAGAAAAACAACAAAATAGTTATTATTTTCTTTTTTTGTCTAATTCAGCATCTTACTTTTTCCATAACTTAAAAACATCACTATTTGTGTATCATTATTAGCTACAATATTGTATTTTACTACTTCTATAGCATTATTGAGTTCATAATCGTCTTGACTCAAAGAAAATTGTCAAGATTACATTCAATAAAATATTTTGGATTAGTAAAACTTTTGCTTACAGTTAAAGCCTCTTTTAGTTTTAAAACTTGCTTGTGTTTTGTGTAAGCAGTTATTAATAGTTTTTTATAAAATAAGGAAACGCTGTAAAATTCTTACTGAATTTTAATTTAGTCAATGTTTCAAGCCATGCTTGATATACAATCACTTTTTCTTATTTTTTAGCATTTTTACCACGCCAGGGATTTTATTTATATGCAGGAAATATTTATTGACTAAGTTCCAAACTAAAGATTACAAAATTAGATATAGTCTAACTACAAATTAAATTGCATATTTAAATGTTAGGTTCGTTGAAGTATTACATGGTTCTCTTAGAAGTTTTGATTATTTTACGATTATAATTGTCTAAATGACTGCAACAACTTTTAAAAAAATCAAAGTAAGAAGAAGAATAAAATAGCAGTTTCCACTGGACAAAGTGGAAATATAAATGCGGAAATATTGCCGAAAATCTTATCCATAATACAGTTAATGCATACCAAAAGGTAATCGCAGATTTCATATCAAATCAAACAGACCACAAAATTTTGATAGCAACGACGTCTTGCCAAAATTAATGTTCAATTTTATAAACAGATTTTAAACGTCTTGCTACTACAAGAATATGTATATGAGCAGCCGTGACGCAGTGGTTAGAGTTCTGGCTCAGAACTCAGAGGTCCGAGGTTCGATGCCAGCTCTAGCACAGCAAGCGACATTGATACGGAAGGAGGCGTGAACTTCCTGTTAAATGCTCACCCGTGGTGCTCTATGATAAGACCGTAAGGACTTCTGGGAGCACCTAAATACATACAAAAAAAAAATAATAATAATAACTAAACTAAAATAAAAAAAAAATGTAGTAAATTGCTAAAGTGACTTTAAATGTGGTTTGACCCCATAGTAGCAGAGAAACGTTTTATGTTTTAGTATTTCTCCATTAGCTGTTTTTGAGATAACGACTAATATGTTTAAAAATTTCAGTAAAATCACCAGCAAAAATTTACAATTTACACACCTCTTTTATGAAAAACATCTAAAATATTTTCTGAAATACTATTATTAAAGCCCAGAAAAATATAATCATCTCTAAATGTTAAATAACAATATTCAAAGCTTAAAAATATTGTTTGAGATTTTTCAAGAAAGTTCAAGAATTCTCATATAAATTAAATATTTCATGTTCAGTGGAGCTTTCTTTAAAAAATTAAATTAATTTTATATAAAAGGCTATTGGGTTAAAGTATCTGTACATAATGAGTTCTGAAAAATTTAAAAATAAAAGAAACACTAAGACAAATATTAATAATTTGAATAAGTCATTCTTATTAAAAAATGAAATAGTTTTTGCAATTTTTAATTCTTGAGGAAAACCTTGATAAATAAGTTCTCCATAAAGTTTCAAAATCTTATAATTTATAAGATACAGCGGCACAGCTAGAAATCTTAAAATATATATTTACTAAAACATTTTTAGTTATACAACTATTTAAAATGGAATAAGAAATTAAGATAGGTCTGTGTATATCTATATTGAATAACAAAGAGCTAGGTTAACCAAACTAGTTAAACAAAATATTGTTAAAACAATGTAATACTTGTAGACAGATGCATTGATGTATACTCTTGGACTATATAAACTATTTGAGTGCCTATACATTGATATCTACTTGTTCTATACATTATTGTCTACTTATCTAAGTTGTTCACAACTGTAAAAACAAATTCTTATTAACTAATTTTTAATAATATATAATACTAACTAGTGTGATGTTAAACATATCGTATTAATTGACACAGTCAGTTAAATACTACAAATAGGTAAATGATTATAAGATGAATGTAAATATCTATTCAAACAACATCTATTTATTCCTGTTTGCAATGAGTTATTTAAACTTATTATTATTTTAAGTAATTAAATAGTAAACTTACTTAACATGCGTATAACTTAGTAATATGAAGTTAAATTTAGTTGTCTAGTTTTATTACACTTTAGATTAAGGGTGGCCACAATAAATCCTACAGTCGCTATCGGTCTCTTAGCGACCATTTGTCTGGCCCTTCAGTTACATAAAGATTTAGTAATAACTTAACTGACTATGACTAAATTACTAAGAAATGCCAAGTTTACACATTTTTATAAAATATTTTCAATATTCTTTTTTTTTTTGCAAATTTAGACAAAACGGTATTTTCTTCAACACAACAAATATGACAAAATATGTGGTGTGTTTAACAGCTAATGGTAAACAAAACACTTAATTGGTGAATTTAATTTGGTGCTAGTGTACAAAGAATAAAATTTAAGTAGACACAATAATAAAAAACATTCAAAAACGCATAATCAGTTTTTCTACAAGGTACGCAAAGAAAAAAGCAAAAGTATTGAAACATAAGTTAGTTAGACAACATACTGCAAAAGGGCAATATCGAAAAAGAAAGTGCTTCCGTTGCAGCTATGAAATAAGTTATTTTTTATCTAAAAATTGAAAATCATTCAGTGATGGGAAAATTGTTAAGGAACCTCTAGAAAATCTGTTTAAAATCACATTTTTAAGAATTTTCAATTTGCCCTAAAAAACTTAAAGTTTCAATTAATATCTTTTTCTCAAGATTAACAATAGCACAAAAATTTTGCTAATGATCTGAGTTTGTTAATGGCTAAAAAATAAAACCATTTTAGCATTAATTGATAGTTGTTGATAAATAAACCAGTATAAATCAGAAACTGTTCGATTAAGTGTTTTTTTTTTGTGGTATTAACAAAGACTTTTTTGTTACTGAAGAGTTACTTGATGTATATCTTTTAAAAAGCAAACAACAGGAGAAAACCATAATAAGCAGAAAACAACTGTCATTGATTAAGCTGCATTGTACTATTCATCAGCATAACTTAACAGCAAATACTATAGATTTTAAAAAGCTCAAATCGTTAGTAATTAAAATAATAAATAGGAAGAAAAATCTACCATTTTATTTCTTAATGAAGACGATTTTGAATATGGTGGACTGCCTTGTTATACTGATGTGAGATGGTTTTCTATAGGTATTATGGTGCAAATGTTTTTGATTTGATACAAAAAATGATAAATTTTCTAATTCAAAGACCTGATCCAACATTACAATATAATTGACAAAGAACTCCAAGAAAAAGATCAGTTAATTATAAAAATGTACAACCTCATAATAGCTTTTCAGTTAAAAATAACTTTGTCGGAGAAGCATTTAAGAACTGGAAGTTTCAGTCATTTTCTTATCTTAGGTGTGCTAAATCTTGGAAACACTGCAGAGTTCGTTACCAGTATTGCTGAATTAAAAACAAGATTTTCGAAAAGGTTTGCAGATATAAGGAAATATAATGGACAAATCAAATTGTTTACTGTGCTATTTTCTGTTGAAACTGTGGCAGAAAAATTAATTTTTCTGGCACAGTTTTAGTTTTTTAACTTAATGAAAGTTTTGGAAATCTTTTTTCTTTGAAAATCCAAAAATTATTTTGATAAAATAATAACAGTCAACTAATTGACGAAGGTATGCGCTTATATTCTGAATAGTTGGAAAAGAGAATAATAAAGTAACTAAATACTATTGAATAATGATGTTTCTCTAAAATTCTTTAAATTTAAATTTAAAATCTCAGTTTAACCTTAAACAACCTGCAAAGTGTAATTTACTTACTTTTTAAATATAAAATTTTAGACAATGGTTAAGATGTCAATACTTTTTATACTTACAGTTTTCTGTTACAAAGCCATGATAATCTATTGTTTTTTTGGTTTATTACATTATTACAATATGTAAAAATGTCATAAATGTTTATGACATTTTTACATATTGGTACGCATGCGTAACGTTATCGCTTGTTCGTAATGTCCTTTATAAAGAAGTACTGTGAACATTAAAGGACAAAACTATAGTTTTGTCCTTTGATGTTCACAGTACTTCTAATACAACATTTACAGATTGAGTCACGAGAAGAAGTGGTTGTAGTTCATTTAGAAACAGATTGTATCACGAGAAGAAGTAGAAAAATATTTCTGTACTATAAGATAAAGGTTGAAATAGTAAGTTTACTTTTAAATAAAAACAATTTGAGTTAATTGCATCTTCAAGATTTGTAAATATATTTATTTTGTTAAAGATATTTAAATAAGTGACACATACGTCATATGATTTACCATTTAATAAGTTTGCAAATGAATAAATTTTAAATAAGTTATTAAATCTAGATTTAGGTTTATCTATTTTTTATTTCCTATCTTTTTTAAGTGACATCTTTAATAGTATGTATAATAATATTTTAACC